TTGTACCCCCCCCTTAAGTATTGCATTTTTTTGTATTACAAGTTTTCTTAAAAAAGGCAAATGAAGAGATATTTAATTCAACAATCAACAGCTCAACAATTCTGGCCCATCCCTACCAGCGACTTTTAATTTTGCTCTACTAATGAAAAATTGTTTGTTTACAATGTTGCAGTTGGAATTGTGTTTAGACAACACAAACTATATTTCCCTCGTCATTTTGGATTCATTACAATGCATTTGGGATTGGCTTTTCTGCAAATGATGCAAGTGATGCTTGTTTAAATTTGTGCCAAAATGAGACATCTGGTAAAGCAATGTAATTTTGCTGCCTGCTGAAGATTGTTGCACGTTGCCGTCTTGCTAGGCAGCTCGCTAGGGTTTGGAACGAAGCCGATGTTTCAGTGCTATGGAATTGAGTTGGTTGGCCACAAAGCGGCAGTGCTTCGGGTGCTTCCGAGCAGCATTTGTGACTGAACAGCTAAAGATAGGGCCCGCTGCTATCGGGGCCAGCAGTATGCTGGCGACTAGACCCAACCATCACCCAAAGCCTGACAACTGAGAGAAAGAGTGCGAGCGAGAGAGATGGAGAGAGAGAAAATGGGCCCAGACTGAGAACAGCCCTTCAGGCGTTAGGAAATGCGAGGAAATTAAGTTCTGAAATCATTGATTTCAAAATGAGCTGCAGACGGGAGAAATCGAGAGGAAAGAGGGGGCGATGTTGGACATAGGATGTAGAACAAGGTAAAGCAAGAGAGAACAAGAAAGAGAGGAATGAGGAGACGTCTTGTAATCTCATGATAAAGAGTTGGCGGGGATGAGTTTTGACAGTGTTTAATAGAGGCTTATAGATGGATCATATTAAATCTTGTATTGTGATTTATGGCTGTTTGCATAATTGAATCGGTGTTTGAATGTCAATAAATTAGCTGCAAACTCATAATCTTGCACACATGAAAAAAGTAAATAATGTGCATAGAATCAACAAAGTTTGGGAAAGCCAAAGTAAAAATTCATAAGCCATAATTTAAAAACGTATTTTTTTTAAAACTTACACATTTTTGTTAATGTTTAATACAGACATTTAAGTATTTTTATATGGAAATTCATTTTGAAAATTGGGTAAAACAATTGCAAAAACATGTATTTTTGCATTTAAGGTTCTACAAGTTCTACAAAGAAGAAATTAATTTCCTGTTTCAAGTGCGGAAACTGGTCCACACCCGTGTCGACCTGTTTATTTGCACCTGCTTCTTTAGGTCACAGCTAATGAGTGTGATAGATAGACCCCGCGCCCCAATTCACGCACTATCTGTCCTAAATAATAAGTCAGATTAAGATCAGTGTGTCCCAAATCATAGTACGTTGAAAATAGTTCACCAAAGCTGCCAAGAGGATGCAATTTTTTCAGTGGCTTTATTAATGAGCAGAAATGCGAGCAGAACGAATGTCTATGTAAATTATTAGTAAAACCATTCTTATGTAAGTTTTTGCAATGAATTACGGTCGTAAACAATTCTTATATAAATTTTCTCTGAACTGGCTCTGAACATTGCCAATTTCTGTGTTAATCGTTTGTCTAAGCATTCCTGTGTTAGCTGTTGCATTGAATGTGCAGAACAAATTTCTGGGTAAGTAAATTGTCACATTGAATTGATTATGTACATAATCAGGCCCCGTCCACACGGAGACGCATTGTATACGCATACATTTTGTATCATATAGGAGTTTCGTCCAGACGGATCCGGCGTTTTGGGAGAGTGAAACCGATATTTTTCGGTTTGAGAGTCGTGGCCTAATGGTTAGAGAGTCGGACTCGTAACCCAAAGGGTGAGGGTTCGAGTCTCGTACCGGCAGGGATTGTAGGTGGGGGGAGTGAGTGTACAGCGCTCTCTCCCACCTTCAATACCACGACTGAGGTGCCCTTGAGCAAGGCACCGAACCCCCAACTGCTCCCCGGGCGCCGCAGCAAAAATGGCTGCCCACTGCTCCGGGTGTGTGTTCACTGCTGTGTGTGTGCACTTTGGATGGGAAAAATGCAGAGCACTAATTCCGAGTATGGGTCACCATACTTGGCCACATGTCACGTCACTTTCATATTTTTTGAAACCGGGTCCCAGAGTGGATAGAAAACGCCGCCCTTGCGTTTTCGTGTGGACAGCGAATCCGTATATTTTCTGAAACGATGACGTCATCAGCCCAAGTCTCGCCCCTAGTCAGACACGCTACGTCACGTAAC